CACCTGAGACTACCCCAAACCCAAGGCCAACCCAAATGCCACCCAAAACCAACCCAAATCCCACACCAAGACCACCTCAAGACCCAAGACCAACCCAAACCCCACCCAAGACCACCTCACCCTTACCCAAAGACCACCCCATACACAAGACCACTCCATACTCAAGACCACCCAATCGTAAGGCTACCCCAAGTCCCACCTAAGACCCCTCAGCCCCCAGCCCCACCAGTTGTAGGCCAGCTGCAGCTGCAGTCGTGCATGGTCAGCTGTCTCAATGGTGACAATGTCAGCACAGAAGTCAGGGCCGAGGCGTAGGCAGAGGCTGCGGCGTGCATGGGGCCGTTTGGGGCGGCCTCCAGATAGGGACAGCACCGTCAGCTGCTCACCAGGGCCCAGCACCACCAGCTCAGGGCCCAGTACTACTCTGCAACAGGGTGGAGAAAGAGCATCATAAGGCAAAATGATGCCCAGGGGTCCTTCAAGCCGAGGACCCTGCAAACCACAGAATCCTACAAACCCTAGAATCCTATGAAACTTATAATCTTACAAAGCCTAGAAACCATAGAGTCCCACAGTACCTATAATAACCTGAGTAAGCATCATGAGTAAGTACCCATAAGCATCACTGTGCTCCTTAACTATCACCCCAAAACCCTACAGTCACATTGGAGATTCTGCAGCACAGGAAGGTCATTAGGGGGTAGTAGAGGGCTGGACACTCCTTGGCAGCCCCAGAATTCAACAACTCTACAGCACTCTACAGTGATATAGCTCTAGAACCCCAGAATCCTAGAACTCTAGAGTCCTATAAACACAGAACCCTAGGATGCTAGAATACAAGAATCTTATAAACACCCTAGAACTCTATAAACATGGAATGCTAGAATCCTGGAAACCTAGTAATTTAGAATCTTAAAAAAATAGAATGCTAGAATCCCTGAATTGTTGAAACTGAGAGTCCTAAAAACCTACAGTCCTTGAATCCTAGAGTCCTGCAGTCCCAGAAACCCAGCAACCTAGGAAATGCAGAACCCTAGAATCCCAGAAACCTAAAAGTCTAGAATCCTAAAACCCAGAATATCCTGAGTTTGAATGGAT